GAGCTAAGAGCATCCTGCAAAGGCGCAATCTTGCTGCCTGCAAAGGCGCAATCTTGCTGCCTGCAAGTCATGGTACGAAGTTGAGAAAAGAGATTCCCAGTGAACACATCAGCTGCCTTTTTTTGACCTGCGCAGGTCCGGCATTTCTATACTGATTTCTGCTCGGATGGCAGATAGCAGGCGCTCAGAGCCTACCACCACGCTCCCTTGTGTTCACTACATTCCCTCAGGATCCCTCAGGGTTGCGGTGGCTAACTGCAGGTAGCAGCAACATTCAGTCAGCCAATCAAAGCTAAATGTCAGCTGCACGCCAATCTACAGCTTGCTCAATCCCAACAGCCGAAAGAATCCAGTGAAGGTCAGGGGATTGGCCTTTTCACTTCCTTCAGTTTTCTCTGCCCACGAAACAAGGTATATACTGTTTCACTTCCAGGCTGAAGTTGCCAGGGCCCTGCTGCTTCTGAGATTGTTCGATGAGGCTATGGTACCTGGCATGTGCGTGGAAGCATTCATCGCCTGCCTGACAGGACTGTGCGAGAGATAGCCAAAGTTTTCCTGCATTCTTGTTCGCAGTGGAAAACCATTTCCTGGCAATGGCATCTGTAATAACCGTGCAGCGGCGATTAATGTCTTCAACCGTCAGGATGTCAGCTGGGGATTTCACGAGCGCATCACGCGCGTGGAACAAAAAAAGTCCCAGGCTCTGCACATGTCAGTGACGTGGGCCCATCCACACTTCGAAGAATCATTTCACTTGTTTGTTTAAGTCGAAGATCCAGATGCGCAAAAAATTCTGCAACTACCTACCTGAAGGCAAGACCCAAACAACCTCGACTAATGTAACATCAAAAGTAAGAAGGGTTGCAAACATGACCTGTCAACTTGGACACATGAGGAGCCACGAGGCATCCTGCAAAAAAGGAGCTTGAAGCATCCTGCATTGGAATGATAGGAGCATAAAGCATCCTGCAAAGAAGGAGCTCTGAGCATCCTGCCATACACAAAGGAGCTTTGAGCATCCTGCGAATCAAGCAGCCCTCATGCAGCCAAGACTGCTTCTGAACCTACTTGGAAGCTGTTTCTTTATTTTTGCCAGCCCTAACAGAGCCGAGCCTGCCACATTATGCAACTCTTGCCCCTGTAAAGCTTTTTTTAAACACTGGAAAGCACTAATTTGCCTTGGGAAAAAAATGTGCGATCGTATGCAACATGTTCAAGGTCCACAAACAAATGACAATGAAACCAACAATTTTCTTAAACATACAACTTTCTAGCCTACGCAGAAAAAATATGAATGAAGGGCAGGAAGCACTTCTAAAAGCCGTTTTTTGATGAATAAACATGCACAAAAACCGTTTTTTGAGTACTCTTGAGCACTGAAGCATGCGAACCTACTATGGTGCCAAAAAAAGTTAGTAACTGGCTATAACTGAAGTTATACAAAACGTTATGAAAAGTTATGAAGTGAAGAAAATATCAACTATTTTATCACATTTTTATAACTTAGAAAAATTGAAAAAAACACTTGTTTTTAGTGTATCGAAAACAATAGTTTTTCTAATTATAGCGGTTGAGCCGCTTCGAAGTTGTTTTTTTAGAAAAAATCGCGGTTTTCATCGCTTCCATGGCTGAGGGAATGTGCAACTGGTTTTTAAACAGAACAGGCCACTGTGGGAGCGCGCCTTTTTAGGTGCTTTATGCACCTGCAATGGGTTAGTTTGCTCTTTGCAATCTCACCTTTGCAGTTTCTTTTCTTTTTACAAAGACCAAAAAAAAACAAGAAACAAAAAAAATACCCAACAAACTGCATCTGACCCCCTCCCCTTGGGGTGTGCAATCTTGTTTTTTTTTTGTTTTGTTTTTTTGGTGTTTTGCTTTCTTGGTTCGTTGTTATTTTGAGGGACTGGCAAAAAAAGTGGCAGGATCTAACTCTTTGCCACTTTTCCCCCCTTAGGCATTGCAAATTTGTTTGTGGTTGTTTCTGCTTGCTTTAGGTCTCTGGTTCCATTAGAAACCATGTAAAAACCAAGGAAAAACAGGTATCCTTGGGGGAAGGTTAGGGGCTTGGGGCATGGATTAAGCAATTTTGTTTTTGACTTATTTTTGAAAACATGCCAGAAGACTATAAAAAACAAAGGCAGCCAATGAGTACGTTTTTTTGATATTGACATTGCTGACTATAAACCCCAGTTTCCCCTAGTACATCCCAATATATCCCACCCATATGGGAATGTCTCAAAATGAGGCGAGCCCTTTTTTTTAAAGTAGCGTTTTGGGGGTCAAAAAAGGCGCGCCTCATTTTGAGACGTCCCCATATACCACAGAGGTCTTTACAGGATTAGATTAGATCATTTTACAGAGGTCTTTACAGGCTTGGGTGAGGGACTGAGGGATTGAATTAGATTAGATTGGATTAGATTAGATTAGATAGATTGGATTGGCTTGGCTTGCTTTGGATTGGATTGGATTGGGTGAGGGACTGGATTGGATTAGATTAGATTAGATAGATTGGATTGGCTTGGCTTGGATTGGATTGGATTGGGTTGGTTTGGACTGGATTGGATTGGATTAGATTAGATTAGATAGATTGGACTTGACTGGATTGGATTGGATTAGATTAGATTAGATAGATTGGATTTGAGTGGGTTGGATTAGATTGGGTTGGGTTGGATTAGATTAGATTAGGTTAGGTTAGATTGGATTGGATTTGGTTTTGTTGGATTGGAATTAGACTGGATTGGATTGGATTGGATTGGAATTAGATTAGATTAGATTGGATTAGATTAGCTTAGATTAGTTTAGATTAGGTTGGATTGGATTGGATTGGATTTGATTGGATTGGATGGGGTTGTTGGATTGGATTGGATTGGATTGGGTTGGATTGGATTGGATTGGATTGGATGGATTGGATCAGATTAGATTAGATTAGGATTGGATTGGAGGGAGTGTACCAGTATACCACCAGTGTGCCACCAGTATACCACCAGTATACCACCAGTATACCACCAGTATACCACCAGTATACCATGGTATACGGTCAGTATACCATGGTATACGGTCAGTATACCATGGTATACGGTCAGTATACCATGGTATACGGTCAGTATACCATGGTATACGGTCAGTATACCATGGTATACGGTCAGTATACCATGGTATACGGTCAGTATACCATGGTATACGGTCAGTATACCATGGTATACCCCAAGTAAACCCCAGTTTCCCCTAGTATATCTCAATATATCCCACCCATATACCACAGAGGCCTTTACAGCACTTCAATAAGATTGGATTGGATTGGAATTAGATTAGATTAGATTAGATTGGGTTGGATTGGATTGGATTGAAATTACATTAGATAAGGTTAGATTAGAGTAGGTTAGATTGGATTGGATTGGGTTGGATTGGAATTAGATTAGATTAGATTAGATAGATTGGATTGGATTGGAATGGATTGGGATGGGTTGGGTTGGATTGGACTGGATTGGATTGGATTAAAATTAGATTAGATTAGGTTAGATTGGATTGGATTGGGTTGGATTGGAATTAGATTAGATTAGATTACATTAGATTAGATTGGATTGGATTGGCTTGGATTGGATTAGATTGGATTAGATTAGATTAGATAGATTGGATTTGATTGGATTGGATTGAATTGGATAGGATTGGATTGGATTAGATTTGATTTGGCTAGATTAGATAGATTGGATTGGATTGGATATGATTGGATTGGATTGGACTGGATTGGATTGGATTTGTTTGGGTTTGATTGGATTGGATTGGATTATATAGATGAGATATCCCTGGATTGGATTGGATTGGATTGAATTGGATTAGATTAGAGTAGATTAGATACATGTATCAATGAACAGTAATCCAGGTTTCCACGGATGCTGCTTTTTCAAAGGAAGATTGTGTTGCCATAAAGGACAATGCTCTGTTGTAAGGAGCGAAAAAACATTCTGAAAAAATCTCACATTTCAAAACATATTGCACTTTTGAAAGGGATGCTCTATGTCAAAAATACTGCATATTGTGCGGCAATATTGGCTTTTCTAAAAGGGATACTGCTCCTTTGAAAGGAAGGTTAGACATGTGGAAATAACAAGATTTCCTTTGAAAGGGGCCCCCCAAGGTGAAAGAGGTCCTGGCCAAGAATGTTCCTTATGCGCGCGAAGCCCCCAAGATTAATTTCGACCGAGTTTTTCATACAAAGGCAAAAACTCGGTCGAAATTAATCTTGGAGGCTTCTAGGCCAGGACCCCTTTCACCTTGAGGACCCCTTTCAAAGGAAATTTTGTTAAATGCACACTGTACTCCTCCAAAGGGCATGGTGTATCTTTTAAAGGAACATTTGATATTTCATAGGGATATTGTTCTGCAAAAACACACTGCGTTGCTCCAAAGGAAGATTGCACTTATGAAGAAGGGTATGCTGCATTTCTGTTTTGAATACTGCATGCATTTGTTGGCAGGTATGGGTATGTTGATGTATATTGTAATTACGTTGAAGACATCTAGGATATCCGGCAAAAATTGAGTTTTGTCAAAGGGACTCTGCAGCATTTAGCCAAGGTAAAGTGAACACCTGGACACTTCTTCAAGCAATACATCCTCTCTAGTGGACATGAACACATCTTCATTCACAGTCTGGGTTTTAACACGTGATTAATTATAGTGTTTGACATGCTGAAAACGGCTGTTCCAACAAAAATGGCTTTTAGTTGCTTTTAGCGGTTTGAAAACCGCTCCATTTGGCATTTTTTTGAGCAGTTGAAAACGCTTCAAACAGCAAACACTCAAAATCATCAAAAAGATCAAAATTTGATCACTTTTAAAGACACTTTTTTTTATAGCAAAAAACAAGTTACAAAAAGTTAGCTAAGAAGTTATGACTTAGTAACTGGGATATAACCCTAGGTTATAATCCAGTTACTAACTTTTTTTGGCACCATAGTAGCACCACATCCTGCGAACTTCCCTTCAGGGCTGCGGCGGTGATGGTTGTTGATGAACCAGACGAGGATGTAGATGAGCGCGAGAGCTGGCTCACACTTCGGAAAGCAATGGTTGACTTTTTGTTGATCAGGAAAAGACTGTTTCCGTCACAAGCTTTCTTGCAGAATATGAGCGTCCGAGGAGGCCCGAATGTGGCAAAAAGTTGCTACTTGGAATCACTGCTGGCGAGAAACTTTGTCCTCAAGTGCGCTTGCTCCGCTGCCGGAGGAAAGGCATCCGAAGTCTTCGTACCATGCCTGACATTGAAGACCAGTCTGGACACAGTGATTCAGCACAGGGTCCGGGAATGTGATTTGCAGCTTCCGGAGTCATATGATGTTGAGGCTTTTGCGACGTACTTGCACAGTCACCTTCATCGTCGAGAGAACGTTCAAATCTTTGCAGCTTTTTGGAAGCACATGAGCACAGCGAAGCACAAGAAAGCTGGCAAGCCGACAGCGCAGGAGAAGCAACGAAAGGCAGACATGCTAGGCAAAGCTCAGCATCTTCTTGATGCAGAGAAACATGGAGATGATTTGTTGGAGAAGTTTCACGCAACAACAAAAAGAAGAACCGCGCACAGGATTGAAGAGGTGAAAACAGAGGACGGAGAGAAAAGCAAGGCTAAGGGCGCTTTGGCTTCAGTAACGTGCAGCTACCACTATTCTGGGCCCACCACGCTTCGCACTCGGAAGCAGGCTTCGGAGTTTAGCGCACAAAGAATGAGTCGACGAGTGCAAGCTGTGATTTTGCCACACACGCACGACCTAGACATTGAAAACAGCCTCTTCACCTTGATAGCGCAGTTGCTGGAGAAACTCGATGTGGATCCGGCCATGCCTGCAGACACCCGGAAAGCTTTGGATTTGTGCGCCCAAAACCGCGCACGGGTTTGTGCGGAAATTTTGTCTCTACCTGGCTCGCGTGGAAAGCAGTTGCTCGTCTCCACTTTCTACGGCGGGTCTGTGTCGCCAGAATTGCAAAAGCTGGACTTTGCGCACAACTTGCAAAAAGTTTCGGTGCATTGCAAATGGGTAGCTATTTCGTGTCTTTCTGATGAATATCGCGCCTTTCTGCAGGATAGCAAAAAAACCAATCCAGAAGGGTCACTTCTATCATACCTCTACACTGCCTGTGAAGATGTTATTCTTTCTCATTGGGTGCAATTCTTGATGGAGACCTTTCACCCTCAGCACCTCTCTTTGCATTATGATGGGGTCCGGATTAGCACTGTGGACGCTGTTTCTATAGCAGATGTCTGCACGCAGAGTGAAGCCTACATCAAGCGGATGACAGGCTTCGAAGTCCGCATTCGGGAAAAGACTCACAAGCTTGTACTGCAGGCCATGAAAGAAGCTGCTGTCGCAGGTCCTGCTGTTTACGCAGCTGACGACGTGCTGTGCAAAGCAGGGAACTGCATTCCACATGCGCTGGCGTGCCTGGAAATGCTGGAGCCAGGTCACATGTATGTGCTCAACAATGGGACAGACCAAAACAATGTCTACATGCAGCAGCGTGGCTCGCGCACTTACAGGCAATGCATGAACATGTTTGGCTGTTCTTTCTCCGTAGCCTTGCTGACGGACGGGGAAGTGCCCGAAGGCAAGTTCCTACTACATTGTGAAAATGGTGGGCGGCCACATTGTGTGGGAGTGCATGTTACGCAGGAGTCAGAAGAGGTTGGTCAGCAGGTCACTATGTGGGATGTTGATGGTGTGTATCGGCTAAGCGTGGCTAGCTTCACCGACGCTTTGTTGCGAGGAACTGATGCTTCCACCTCTGTAGGTTTTTGGTTGCAGGCAGACAAATCGGAGGACTTGGATGAAGCTCTCGAAAGGCTGCTGGACTTGGGAGCAGGTAGTTCTGAGGAGGAAACGGTCGCGGAATCCTGTGATGAGATGCTTGCAGAAAGTTGTATCCTGGAGGAAGGTGGAGTGCAGGAAGAGGAACCCTTCGAATGGTTGGACGAGGAAGGGACCGTTGTTGTGGAAGAGGCTTTACTAGGCAAGCTCCAGGCAGAGGTTGACGAGCGCGTGACCAAGTCAGCTGATTGGAAGAGTAGAGGCACCATGCCTTGTCCACTGTGTCCTTTTCGCACGTTCCATCGCCGAGATCACTGGGAGCGCCATGCGCGCAGGTATCACAGCAGGAGACAGCAATACTGTTGTTCAGGAACGAAACAGCTACGTATTGTGATCGCTCTCCATGATGCGGACCAGCTGCACCGACGCAGAGGCCGGAACTATCTCCAAAGGTCTGCAGATGTGTTGCGCCGATCTGTTCGACCAGCCCTGTCTGCAAAATGCAATGCCATCGACAAGCACATCCGGCTGCTTTTGGATGGATCTGGACCTAAGGTGGTGCATGCTGAATATTTAAAGGCAGGCGTCACTGCTCGCCGAGTTGGACGACTGTGGTACACCCATTCCTTTGCTGAACAGGTGTGGCAAGAAATGCTGCTTCACCATGGAAAGGCCGGTGTGACCAGACATGCAGTGTCATTGTTCAAGGCCAGGTCTAGGTTGTATTGCAAAAGCAACATGTCCGTGACAGTGACCCCGTGCCGGTGTCCAGGCGGCAGCGCTGCGGCCTCGACTACTGGTGAAGGCATTGAACGCAGGCAACCACATCGCAACGCTCTTACCAACACATGTCAATGCATGGTGGCCCCTTGTGGAAGATATTTTTTCATCCGCCGCATGCCAAAGTCTCCGGGCCGATTTGCTGGAGAAAGCAATTGCGCATGGTGAATGTTCCTACTTGTCTGTGGATGGCACCTTCAAGGTTTGCTTGCCGGTGATGGGCCAAGCGCACTTCAATGCTTCTGCTGGTGTGAGGGCGAGCTTTCCATTTCAGGACCATGTAAAGCAAAACTTGTAGCATTTTTGAATCAATAGTCGCTTCTAAGGTTGTCTCCTGTCTTCGTGTTAACAAATATTGTCTGAACAAACATGCAGGACGGTGAGGCTTACACGCGGGTGCTGTCTGTGCGAGGTCGCAGTGGGGCCGTTCTTGCATTAGAGCCTTCTGTCGGAGAAAGCCCTCCACACATCGTCGCTTGCTTGCAGACTTGTTTGCCCCAGGCAGGCCTTCTGCAAGTAGAACATTTGGCCACAGACAGTCCGAACGAAAATTTGCTGGCTGAGTTGACAAATGTGTGTCCCAACTTGAAAGCCTTGTCGTTGGATCCGACCCATGCAGCCATGAAGTACGAGCAGGCATTGGTAGGGAAAAGATCAGCTGGTTCCAGATTGCTGCGATCTTTCTTGGTGAAGTTCACGGCGCACGACCCGAATGTAGAAAGCAACATTTGGGGCCCTTTCTATGCAGGCGGGCCTGTGCCTGAGGTACGGCAAGAAGCTAATCTGCGGCAGCACATCTTGGATGTGTCCATGTCTAAAGCCCGAGCCCGCCGGATTTTGCAGAGTGCTGAGCAGCTTCTGATTTGGCCGACTCGCATTCAGTTCATAGAAGCAGTGGCTGCTTTAGCAGCGCTGCATTCAGATGATATGCAGAAAAAGATTGACGGTTCGAAGTTCACAGTGGCAAAGTTCTTATACAAACTTACAGCTGCAGACAAAGTCGAATGGCTAACCAACAACTTACGCTACCGACAGTTTTTGCCTGCATCTCGGAGGATCCTTCTCCTGAGCGGAACAACTGCCAATGAGGCACTGCATGCAGAGCTAAATGCATGGTACAGACAGGTGCAGCAGATGCACCGAAGCACCCTTGCTTTGAAACTGGGTATGCAAACGATCGGAAAGCTGCTTAGCCACCAAACAGCGCTGCATTGGCCTACAACAGTACAAATGCCTCACGCCATGGTCCTGGCGGCAGCTACAACGAAGCCACTCTGGACAAAGAGGACTTGGAAACTGCGGGTGCAGGAGCAACGCGAAAGCGGAGTAGAACCATTGCAGCGCCTTGTGCAGAAAAAACGTGACAAGGCAAGAATTCGCAAGTTCAAGCGGCCTGCATCAACAGAAGTTCGCCAACGCAAGCGAACTCCGTTCACTTTGGAGCGAAGAGCTGGAATTAAACGAACCGGCGTCCACAGACGACGTCCGGCTTCGGCTTCTGTTGGATAACGCGCTCTTCCTCCACATCAGCTGCAGCATGGTCAGATACGTCGGTGACTTAAACACAGAACAAGAAGCGCAGCAACATACATCCATGCCAGATGAGTATGCACAGCACCGACACATTCAAGTATGAAGCTGCATGCCAGAGCCTTCCATCCGTCCCACCCTGGTCCCACCCTGGTCCCGCCCTGCCCCGCCCTATTCCGATCCCAAAGGTGTTGGTTGGAAGCGTATTTGTGGCACGCTCATGTGCGAGCGCATTGCGAGAGTCAATATGGTTACAGTAGCATTGTTCCTGCTGTACTTTCTGGTCCACAGCCCGCATTCAAGCTTTCAACGCAGCAGCTGCATTTCGTATGATTGCAAAACTGTCCGCAATACACAATACAAGATTGCGAACCAGCAGACAAAAACACATGGGCAAAGTGACAAAACCTAGGGAGGCCACAAATGTGTCTGCGCCTGCTGTATGATGTTGCCTGTGGCTACTACATTTAAGATGCGATTATGCACACGCATATATATATATATATATATGTAGACGCATACATTAAGAACTTTGCTAGCACCCGTTGGAACAGCTGCAATATACACACTTGTAAACATGTATGCTTAGAAAGCTTCTGTGTATGCATTTTCGCCGACACTTGATCTTGCTGCAGAGCATTGAAGATGTGTTTCAAAATTTCATTTCACGGGAAAAACCGTGTCCACGGTAGTAACCCCAGAGAAAATTCGGTTGAAACACATATCTTGTGAATTCCTTTTGCACAAGAAAGTCTCACATGTGGCAGTGCACGCCATCTGCACCGAGAAGCAAGAATGTTGGCCTTGATTTTATCCTTGGAAGTGTTTGTTCAGGTTTTGATGTTCCAGGATCTGTATGTTGTGTTCCTGTGCTGCCTACCGGAATCTGGACAGTTGTTGTGATTCACACAAATATTTGTACGGATGACGCCGTGCATTGAGCCGGATCATGCCAACTCTCTCTTGCAGCTACTCTTGGTAATGATCGTCATTGTCTAGTGTAGAACAAACTTGTGGTTCAGTTCATGGCAGGAAAAGACATGCTGCTTCTTGCAGACCGTTTTTGCACGGCACAGCTTTCGCGATCGTCAGCATGGCTGAAAAAGCCCGCTGCAGGGACTTGCACATGTGGCAGTGCACGCCATCTGCCCCGAGAAGCAAGAATGTTGGCCATGATATTATCCTTGGAAGTGTTTGTTCAGGTTTTGATGTTCCAGGATCTGTATGTTGTGTTCACGTGCTGCCTACCGGAGTCTGGATAGTTGTTGTGATTCAAACAAATATTTGTACGGATGACGCCGTGCATTGAGCCGCATCATGCCAACTCTCTCTTGCAGCTACTCTTGGTAACGATCGTCATTGTCTAGTGTAGAACAAACTTTTGGTTCAGTTCATGCCAGGAAAAGACATGCTGCTTCTTGCAGACCGTTTTTGCATGGCACAGCTTTCGCGATCGTCAGCATGGCTGAAAAAACCCGCCGCAGGGGTTTGCCCAAATAGACCCTGTTTTTCCATGCCACACCTCGACCCCAGGATTTAGGCTGATGCTTTTGTTCGTCCTAACTCGGGGGCGCGTTTTGTGCACTGGACTTCGGCCCGAATCCCATTCAGCCCTCAGCATTGAACATATCATCAATATCGGATGTTTACCACAACTCTCTTGACTTACATTTTATCACGCGTGAACAGGATCTCAAACTAGAAATTTATGACAAAAACTTAGTGAACACTTATGATCATTCAGCGGCGTACTGTACTTTGCGCCGTCGTTGCGTATAGATCAACATATTGTACTTATATAAATGCTTCCAAAGCTTGGATTCATCAATATTTAGTTGCATTAAAACCAAATATACTATATTCAAATACATCATTTAACAACTTGAAATAAGAACCTTTGATGACATAACATCTACTCAAAATAATGGACCTGGAATAAACATATATATATATATGGTACACACACATGTATATATATATCTATATCGCCGCATGATACTGGGATTCTTTCAAACAAAAAATGAGGAAAGCATTCGAAAAGCAATATTTGGAAATTTAAATGGGGAATGCATTTGCAAGTGTTGGGGGTTTAAAACGTAAGGAGAGAACCAAATCCAAAACGAGGGTTTTTAATCCTTAACGGTGGAACCCATATAATAAAATCTGATGAAAGAGCGAGGAAATAAAGTCTGACATGGGAAAATAATAATGAATATGAAATTGAAAGCATTCGGGGATAGTCTGGAATCTAGATGGATATATGACTGGAATCTATGGGGCCGTTATAGTAAATATGATGCAGCGGGCGATTTTGAAAACAAATCGGACTCCAGAAGTCTTGTTCCGGGAAACCAGAACGGATCAGGGTACAAATATATCTCGCTAGCATTTAGTACGACGGAAAACTTGGATATACATATATATATATAATAAATCTTACAGTATCTAAAACCATGACTGCAAACTAGAATTCAAACCCCAAATCAAATTCAAACAGCCCTGAATCAAAGGGTGTGAAATAGTTTTAGGATTTTTCCCGAATGCGTAGCAAGGGTTCCCGTTTCACTCTGGGGGTCCGGGGGTTGGAGTGTGTTCGCTCGACGTTGCGTCCGCGTCCGCAACCGTTCGCAACCGTCCGCAACCGTTCGCAACCGTTCGCAACCGTCCGCGCGAGGACCGTATGGCCGTGCCTATGGGAAGTTCTGCAGAGGTGGTAATTTTTGGAGGTTTCAGACGTGTCGTTGCTTCGTTTCGCGTGGCAGGCGTGGCACTTCGTGACATTCAGACGTGTTCTGGAACGTGTCGAAAGTCGTTTTGCGTGGCAGGCGCAATACTTTTGCGACGTTTTCAGAAGATGTGTTGCAGTTTTCGTGGCAGGCGCAGCACTTTGGACGTGTCCATCGCCATTTTTCGTGGCAGGCGCAGCACTTTAGACGTGTCATGTTGCGTGTTTTTTGCAAATCGCATTGGCAGGGCTGCGTCAAGTGGCGACAAGGTGCAAATTCCGTGGCAGGCGTGGCATTTTCTGACATGTGTTGAAAATTGACGGAAGCCTCGCACGAAACATCGATTTTGAGGTTGCAAATTTTCAGGTTCTAAGGAAAACTCGTAGGAAAACGTCGATTTTGAAGCTACAAAGTCTGAAAATTGGAGGAAGTCTCGCACGAAATGCTCGTTTTGGTGCTCCCACCTGTCTCGTCTCGCGTCTCTGGTATTCCCGTGGCCTCGCCGTGTCTATGGGGGAAGCTGCAAAACTTGTCCTTTTGTCATGTTGCCAACTGTGAAAATTGGAGGAAGTCTCGTACGAAATGCTGTTTTTTCTGCATCCACGTGTCTTGTCGCGAGTCTCTCGTTTTCCTGTGGCGTCGCCGTGTCTATGGGGGAAGCCGCAAAACCTCTCCTTTTCGAATGTTTCCACGCAGCTTGTCATGTTGTTTTGCGTGGCAGACGTGGCACTTTGTGACATTCCAACCTAATTGATAGCGTGTCGAAATTGTCAAAATTGGAGGATGTCTCGCACAAAATGCTCGTTTTTCTGCATCCACGCGTCTCGTCTCGAGTCGCTGGTTTTCCTGTGGCATCGCCGTGTCTATGCGGGAAGCTGCAAAACCTCTCTTTTTCGAAGGTTTCCAAGCCGGTTGTCATGTCGTTTTGCGTGGCAGGCGTGACACTTTGTGACATTCCAACCTGTTTGGTAAGGTGTCGAAAATGTCAAAATTGGAGGATGTCTCGCACGAAATGCTCGTATTTCTACACCCACGTGTCTCGTCTCGAGTCGCTGGTTTTCCTGTGGCGTCGCCGTGTCTATAGGGGAAGCTCCGCACTCCACACTCTACACTTTACACTCCGCACTCCACAATTTACACTTTAGACTCCACACTGGACACTCTACACTTTACACTTTGCACTTTACCCTCCTCACTCCTCACTCGAGACTTTACACTCCACACTTTACACTCCACACTCCTCACTCTACACTTTACACTCCACACTTTACACTCTACACTCCACACTTGACATTTTACACTCCAGACTTTACACTCCTCACTCCACACTTTACACTCCACACTCCTCACTTTACACTCCACACTCCTCACTTTACACTCCACACTCCACACTTCTCACTTTACACTCCGCACTCCACACTCTACACTTTCCACTCCACACTCCACACTCCACACTTTACACTCCACATTCCACACTCCACAATTTACACTTTAGACTCCTGACTCGACACTCCACACTCTACACTTTCCACACTTTACACTTTGCACTTTACACTCCTCACCCGACACTTGAAACTCCACACTCCACACTTTACACTCCACACTCTACACTTTACACTCTACACTTTACACTCTACACTCCACACTTTACATTTAACACTCCACACTTTACACTTTACACTCCTCACTCCACACTTTACACTCCACTTTCCACACTCTACACTTTACACTCTACACTTTACACTCTACACTCCACACTCTACACTTTACACACTCCTCCTCACTCCACACTTCACACTCCACACTCCGCACTCTACACTCCACACTCAACACTCTACACTTTACACTCCGCACTCCACACTTTACACTCCACACTCCACACTTTACACTCCTCACTCCACACTTTACACTCCGCACTCCTCACTTTACACTCCACACTTCACACTCTACACTTTCCACCCCACACTCCACACTCCACACTTTACACTTTACACTCCACACTCCACACTCTACACTTTACACTCCACACGCTACACTCCACACTCCACACTGCAGACTGGTAACAGGGGAAATATGTACAAGACTGTTCAAATAAACTATTGCAGAAAAGTGTTCGGCGTGATTGCATATCCATGTGTTTTGACATCTGTTATACGTGTGAGCATTCGGGTTCGTGGGCTGCATCTTGTTCCCCACCTGCCAGGTGAGGGTTGTTAGATTTTATGTCAGTTGCCTCCTCCTCCTCCTCCTTCT